TTTTTAGTCACATGGTCAAGAAAGGGATAAAAGAGGACTGTAACTGTTGCTCTGTCTCTTTCCTTTGCTACCTCTCTTTCTTTGCTGGGACTCTCTTCTTGGGGCTCTGCCCACTCTCCCTCTTTCTCTCTATCTCTCTTTCTCTCTCCCTCAGGTAACATTTTACATACATGCTGGGTACAATTAACTATAGTTTTTACCATCCTTCATCTATTTTGTAAACAATTCAAGTGTAACCATAACAAAATATTGTTATTAAACCATTTAAATTATTAATTATGTGCTAACTAGTCTTGATTCAAGGTTACTATTAAAGTGCTACCTATTGCAATACAATATAGTCACACTAGCAACACTCTCCCACATATTTAGCTATTCTAATTGCGCTTATTTCCGTCGTTGGTATTAGTGGCAGTGATAGTAATAGACTAGAAATGTACAGTTTTATACCATCGTGCTGACAACGTTTCTTTAGTCATTCGGCAATCCTACAGCCTGAACCACTAAGGGTTTACACTGTCAAACACCACTACTGTAATGAAACCAAATGAAACCTGAGCGTGTCTTAAGGGTCCTTGTGAAGGTTCAGTGGGCCTCATTTATCAATCTAACGTAGAAACGAGCGCAGATCCATGCGCACAAATCAACTCAAGACAGAGTTCACGTGTGATTAATGAAACATTTGTATGCCGCCAATTTCATAAATGTGGCGGCAGAAAACAATCGTCATTTGAATATCACGCCCTAAAAACACCCCGGTTTAGAAGCCTCGCCCCTAGAGTTTATGACATTGAGAAATAAAACCCGGCCAAACAGAGGAAGTAATCTCATGAAAGAGAAATTGGTCTTACTCCAAAAACACCCGTTAACCTTGTAATTGCAAACAATTAGGCTACATTAATATATGTAATTTATATGTATATTAAAATACTGGTAAATATAAACAGCCTATTTAGTTCCCCTCACTAACCAACAAATATTTTAAATTTAACGGTATTCAGAACAAGAATGAAAAATAAGTAGTTATAACATTTATATTTTAAACTATAGAATAGAACACAAATTAGGCTATAGTGGCATTCATTATAAACAGCATACAAATGTCAAGCAAAACTGAAACGGCACTGGACTCACGAGCCTGTCTCATACCACAAGAATCCAAATGTTTCCATTTTTGCCATATTTGTAACATTTGTTTGCATAACTATTATTCATTATGTAGCCTAAACATGGCTTTATACTTCACTCATGTTCTAATATTCATGTAAAATTCTTCAAATGCGCAAAAATGTTTGTTTAGGCGCTGCACGCTGATTTCACAGCAGACCTTTTAAAATAAACAGCATAACTTTTATGTTTGGTTGACTGCATGTTAGTTTGATGATGAATGGCTGAAATGTCAGGCAACGGTAGAATTAATGTTGTTTGTGTGTGCGTGTGTGAGGCGCCTGTGCGATTAGATGGATTAAATCAAATAAAGATATAAAGAAATAAAATGCATTAAGAGTGTCACAAAAATGAGCGTAGCCTATACTTGTTGCACAGTTTTTTTTTTCTTTTGTTAATTAATTAATTATATTATAGCCTATTACATATTTTGTGTGATCATATTTATTTTATTCCTTTTATAGACTTAATTTCTGTTTTTCTCCTTTCACAGAAGCGCTGCAGGTGCATGATGCAATGATTGAATCCTTATGGTTTTTGTTTATGCTGCTATTCGCACATCTAAAGCTAAAGCCCTGTACAAGACAACAACAAAAAAGACATTCTAATCTTACTGGTTAACGATCAACTAATGAGCTTCGTTTGACGGTCAGGAATATAAAAATTAACAAATTGCTGTCATTCTACAATTCTCCACCGTATTTACTATGCTGCGCGAAAGTTTTGGTAACTCAAAAACTTGCGTACACGAGCTGAGACCAGAGATGAGATTTGATCGTAGCCACCACTGTGTTTGATTAGGGTTGGAGCTAAACTCTGAAGGAAAATGGCCTGGAAGGGCCAAGTTTGCCCACCCCTGATCTAACTGCTCTAAATGATGTTTTATTAACAAAGTTCGGGAGGAGCATGTTCAGATAATTAACCTAATTAACACGAGAGTTGTTCAATCAGTAATCAACCCAATTAACAAGATAAGAGGTGTGTATATATACGCAGCAGACTTACCTCTGTTTCTTGACAGTTTTTCCAGAATCCCTCCCCCACCCCTTCTCCGCACTTACAACTATTTCTGTCCTAACCTGGGGGGGGTACTCTGGGTTCGGGACAAAATTCCAAACTCTGAGCCCCTCCTCTTGGACAGCACGCCAAATCTGCATAACCTTTACTCTATTTATTATATGCAAGTGTGAACTCCTGAAAGTTATAAATAATGGTCAATCTAATCGTAGCCTTTGAGCTGCTTTTCCTGAGCAAATCTACTCAACCCTACAATGAGACTCCATTGATGTGCTTGAGCTGTTAGATGGACATTTATGTTGTAACAGTTAAATGTTACTTAGGGTGTAATTCTACTACCCATCATTAGGGGACACTATGGTTCTCTTATGAGAAGTTTAAATACAGTTAGGTGGTAGAAGAAGAGAGAGATGTTTGGTAAGAGGAAAGCATGGCTTCCCTCTTGTAGCCTTACCTTCACTGAGATGTCCTGATTGGGAAACATGTTGTTTTATGCTCAATCAAAGTAAGGTCCTTTTTTTATGCATATTCACAGTGTGGCTGTATAAATTGCATTTCATGGTTTTGAGGTTTATTCTAATGTTTGTTAATATGTTGTTTATAGAAGGACTCCTTTGACCTAGCCTCCTTAGATGTATCAATGGTGCATTTATGACTGCATGGTACATTTTGAAAATATAAAGGACTAATTTCCCTGCATTGCATCTCCTTACTTTGGGTCATCGAAACTGGATATTAATTACAAGGATAAGAACTATTTACATCTGCCTTTTCTACAAGGTTTCTTCTTTCGCTTTTGGACTGGGACATATAAGTATAACCATCTTCATTACATGAACATTTTGTGCTCGTATTGTAACCTCATTTTATATATAGACATATTTTTGTATTGGTTCTCTTGGGTCTTTTTGTACGATTGGTTTATGGTATGTTATTTTTGCTTTGGGGTTTATTATTGTGAATTTCATTGTTGTTGTTTTTCTTTTTCATAATATATCTCTGCTAAGAAAATCAGTTGTCTGTTCTATGGTTCAACCTCAACCAGTTTAAGTATTGTGAGAAGTTAGTAGGTAGATCCCTCCCAAAGGAAAAATACTTTCAGATTTATAACTATTACTCATAGAAGTACGAGTTTGTTATAATGTTCTTAGCAGATGTTTTATCATCCAAACTATTTCCTAGAAAGTTCACAGTGTAAGTGGCGAATCTGATGTTGGTGAAGTGTGGAGCTGATAAGTTTTGATTTCTGTTTTCTGTAGAGTTTCCAGTCTCTCTCAGCACCTCCTGAATCTACAGACATAAATGATGAGCCTATATAATAATCTGTCCGTCAGCTGAGAGACCAACTGGAGGATTTCTGCAAAGAGCAGCTCAAGAAGATCTCAGACAGAGGTAAAGTCCTGGAGATTCATCTGCTCTCAGAAACCAGTCCATCATCATCTCATATCATGGAGAACATCACATTATAAATGTGTTAGGAATGGATGCAGGATCATGAGAATAACACTGTTCATGTCTGTTGATTTCCACAGTCACATTCACCAACATTGTTCCCAGAACCAGGAACGACTTTCTACAATGTAAGTCAGTAAGAAAACAAGCAGAAAAACTCACTGAGTGTGTTCATCTTCTTCCTGTAGAAGGTGAAAGAAGAATTTTATAACTGATGATGTCAATGATGATTTGCACAGGATATCTGGCCATCTGTACTGAGACACTGATGATACACTGAACATGAAGAGTTCAGCTACATGAAAAGATCAAACAGATTCATAATTCCTGATTCTGATGTGTTTTATCTCCATCAGATTCCCATCAGCTCACTCTGGATCTGAACACAGTGAATAAATGCCTCCGTCTGTCTGAGAGCAACACAGTGATTACATTCACTGACACAGAGTAGTCGTATCCTGATCATCCAGACAGATTTGATTGTATGTCTCAGGTGTTGTGTAGAGAGAGTGTCTGGGGATGCTGTTACTGGGAGCTGCAGTGGAGTGGAGATTATGATGTGCGTATATCAGTGTCATATAAGAGCATCAGCAGGAAGGGAGAGGGTAATGAATGTGCCTTCGGAAATAATAACCATTCCTGGGGCTTGTACTGTACTCCCTCCAGTTACTCATTCATACACAATAACACATGGACTGATCTCCATGTAAAGTCCATCAGCAGGAGAATAGGAGTGTTTGTGGATCACAGTGCAGGAACTCTGTCCTTCTACAGCATCTCTGACACAATGAGCCTCATCCACACAGTCCAGACCACATTCACTCAGCCGCTCTACCCTGGGTTTTGTGTTCATTATAAATCATCAGTGAAACTGTTGATGAATCAGAATAGACTGACGAGAGATTCTACCCATAATGCTTTGAGCTGCATGATAAATCAGTAACAGTGAGATGTTATAGAGTCTCTTCTTTTCTCTTCATGACATTAATGCTGAAGCTGAACTTCTGTCAGTGAAATAACATGTCAGAATAAATTGTGTAAAAAATCCTCATGTGACAACAGACACACTTAGAGCAGCTTCTCTGAATGTCACCTAATCATAATATAGTTTTATCTTATGATTGCATGCTTTTAAAGGATATTTGTCTTGTCATGAGTAAGAGATCAAAGAATGTCAGGTTTTTATTTCCAGGTTTTTAATGTCACATGATGATGTTGTAAAGCAGTAATTTAATGGTGTTTTATTAACAAAGTTTGGAGGAGCAAGATCAGATAATCAACCAATTCGGCACAGGTGGAACTCGTTTAGTTAATCATCTTAACTAGCACGATAAGTGTGTGTGTGTGTGTATGTATGTATGTGTGTATATATATATATATATATATATATATATATATATGTGTGTATGTTTTGTATGTATATTATTAGATATATATATATACATCGATGCATTGCGATTCTGGATCGATTTATACAGCCAACTTACCTCTGTCCCACGACCATTTTCCGGCATTCAGTTCACTCCTTTTGCCATTATATCACAGACTCAACTTTTCCCGTCCAACAATGAGACCTATACTGGGGATTTTTTTGGATCCTCCACCCCAATCTGTCGGCCCCAGGATCACTTCGCTGCTCAACCATCCAGACGCTCTCCACGATGCCAAGGCCTAACCTTGCCTCCACCGGCGAGACGTCCAACTTCTTCCCCGGCATCCTCTTATCATTCAGCCGTGCCAACAATTCCTCCGATCAGAAAGTGGACCATATTTAAGCCTGAGGCAAATGCTGATTAATCCCTACGCACAGTTCTCACGGAGGATGAACAAAGCGGATCTGAACGATCTATATGTCACCCTGCAATCAGCCAACCTCACTCCTAAATCTAATCCAAAGCTTGCAATGCCCTGAACTCGCCTCACTTCACACCACCATCGTTCCGCACAAGACCCAGCTCTCCTCAAACATTGGGTCTCAGCGGCAGGCCTTCCGCTTCGGCTCAGCCTTTCACCGCGGCTCTTCCGGCCACAATGCCATACACAGCCAGGCCTCCAGCTCCTGTAGCAGATGCTAGCGCGAGGCTGCCAGTGTTGGCAAATAATTTGGTTTCACTTTATTTTGATATTCTACTAACTGTAACTTTGCAACTACATGTCAACTAGCTGTAGGTTAGGGTTAGTAGAGTAAGTTGCTGTACTTGCAAGTCAGTAGAACATCTGTTGAGTGACCACCAAAATAAAACATTAGAGTATTAGTAGACTGTCTGCTTAATATCTGCTAATGACTGCTAGTTGACATGTAGTCGCAAAGTTATTTATAGGTAGTTGAATGTCTAAAGTGGACTATCAAAATAAAGTGTTACCAATTATTTTTTTAGGTAAAATCGCTGAAGGCGGGTCATTTGTTGTTAAATGACGTTGTGACATAATTGGATGTTGATGTCATTATGTAATCATGACGCAAATCTGCGTGGAGTACACAATGAGATCACTCACATTTTCTGTATTCATTTTCACCAGCATTTTACCTGTATTTTAAATTACACATTGCACTTTGACAAATGGATAGATAAGATGGATAAGATCGATTTTCGAGAAAATAAGATCAACAGTGTACCTAAATGATTAACAATAATAAGTAAAAACTAACAACTAAGGTGTATCATGAAGAAACAATTATTATTGATCAAGTGCAACTAGCATTTTAATTCACAATGCGCGTACTGCTAGGCACCTCCAAGTCTCTACTAGCTGATGTGCTGCTCGGCTGGCTAGCTGTTTCAATGCTTTCTTCTTTTTGTATGGTTAAGAGGAAAATGCATGCTTTAAAAAAAAAAAACGATGGAGTTATCGGTCGATTATTCTGATGATTAATCGGATAATTATAATCTATTTTTATGGCAATGAAAATAGACCTAATCAAATGGACAGTTTTCTGGCATCCAGCTTCACCTGCCTGCCACAATGTCTGAGATCGAGCTCTTCCCGTCTGACAATGAGCTGGACGCTTCACCACAAGCCACCAGCTCAAAGGCACCTCCTTCACAAGCTACCTGCTCAAAGGCACTTCCTCCTCTGCCTGGTTCCACCGCCGAGCCCCAGGCCTTGGCACATGGGTGGCAGTCCGCAAGACCAGCTGCTCGCATGCCTAATCACTGAAGACTTCACCTCCATCAACAAAACAGCCATTGCAATTCCCAGCATCTTCCTATGCCTCAGCTTCACCACCTATCCCTCCCATTGGAAAATGGACCGTCGTGGGATTGACACAAGCACTGTTTCTCTGGAAAACACTAACTCACCCACTTCACTCTATCACTTCATCTTCTTCCAGATCAAGTTCTGGCTCCCCTCGAGCGTCGCGATGCAGCAGGCCATCAGCAAGCCTGGGCCGTGCTCCAGAATCTGCCGCTCCAGATACTCTACCGCCTCCCTCCTCTGCTCAACTGGCCAACGTGGCTCCCCCAGCTACCACGCCACACATGGCATCGCTCGCTAACATAACCTACCAACCTCTTCCTATCCTTCCCACTCCCTGCACTCTACCTCCAGCAGCAGATGTTAGCGTGAGGCTGCCTCTGCTAGACACTCAAGCCAGTGACGCAAGCTTACTTGCCTCCTCCCACATATCCTTCGACCTCTTCCTACTTCCTCAAGCACCAGGTGCTAATCCATGTGTGAGGCTGCATCTGCAAACATTTATGGCCCCACCTTCTCTTCCTTCCAACCTTTCTCTTCAATCTAAACCTCAGTTCACCTTATTTACGCTGCCGCTTTGAAGCCACCCCACGTGACTAATACCATCAGGTCTCAAATTCTCGCAGAAATTCAGAGTGCTGGCTCCATGGGCGGATCCTTTGCCAACCCCATTACCTCTCAATTTGCAACTTGTATTCCCGTAACCCATCCCTTAAAACCCCTCCTCAATGTGTCACTCTATTCTATCCCCCCCAGCAGTTTCACCCAGAATCATCCACTCTTATCTAACAGCTTGGAGATGTTTAAAAGCATTCCACCTCTCCTATAACCTGCCATTTTCTGGTTTTTCTCTCCTCTAAATCACTTCATTCATTTCCTTCCGTTATTCCTTTAGGAACTTCCAAGCCGGGTCTATTAAAGGTTACTTGGGTGGCATTCAATTTTTTCACAAAAATAATCTATGGCTCCCCCTCCCCTGAAATAAATAATTCTCAAACGTCTCTTCTAAATAAAGGAATTCAGTGCTCTCAACCATCAAGCCCAGATGCCAGACAACCTATAACTTTGGACATTCTTACAAAATGCATCCACAGTCTCTGCACAGGGTACCATTCACTCCATACCGCTCGTACCCTTGTCGCCATGTTTATATTGGCGTTTCGGTTCTCTGAGATGCTCAGAACTCACAATAACCTCCAAATTCAACCCCAAACGCCATCCAACTGTCTCCGTATTATCCGTGCTCAATAGTGAAATTTTCGTTTACCTCCGCCCAATGTTTCGAATCATGCTGCTTATTTGGCAGCAAGCAACCTTCTGCCTTCTAATGCAGTGAGCTGCAGCTCCCTTCGGTCAAAGTGTGAGCCCTCCACCTGTTGTCTTCGAATCGCTTTGTTTATTTGGTGGACGACGGGGCTCTCCCTTCCGAAGTAATGAGTCGCAGCTCCCTTCAGCCCTCTTTTGTTTCGAATTGTGTCACTTATTCGATGGCGGACAGGGCTCTCCCTTCCAAAGCAGCTCCCTTTGGTCGCAGTGTGAGCCCTTCACCCATCGTATCAAATTACAATGCAGTTAGCCACCGCTCCCTTTGGTCGCAGTGTGGGCCATCCATCCATCGCTTTGAGTTTCATTGCTCATTCAGCGGCGGACAGGGCTCTCCATTCCGTTGTGGTGAGCCGCCACTCCTTTCGGTCGCAGTGTGAACACTCTATCTGACGCTTCGAACCGCACTGTGTATTCAGCTGCAAGCGGGGCTCTCCTTTCCGTCGGACGCAGCGAGAGTCCCCCATTTGATGTCTGCCATTGCTCATTCAGCGGCAGGTAGCGCTTGCTCATTCAACGCTGCGAGCCGCAGGTCCCGATGAGCACTGCACGGGCTTTCGTGGTCACCCTGCCTCCTTCTTGCAAACTCTAACCCATCTCTATTCAT